CTATTATGAAGAAGACGATGAGAATTGCTTTAGCCTGCACGGTGTTCCACATCTGGAAGCAAAGGAATGCCACCCAATTTGACCAAGTACCCCTATGCATTGAGGCTATGATTTGTAAAATTAAGGTGATGGTTTTTTCAATTTTGGGGAGGCTTTGGCCATTCTATTCCCTTTCGTATTGATGTATGTTTCGTTGTTTTGCTGTTTCTTGGCTTGTGTGCCTTGCGTTTGTTTACTTGGAGGCGTTTTGGTGATTGTAATGATCCCGTGTTGGCATTGGCAGGTTTGGATCTGGTTCACTACCATTTCCACGCTCGGGTATGCCCGTTTTATTTGTATATTCCTATTCTTTTTTCTATTTACACCTTTTACCTATAAAAAAAAATTTGTCACATCCATCTTGACAATCTCGCCCCATCTGCTTCCAGGATCACATTGTTCTTTCTGTTTACCTGCGTGTAACAAATAAAACACACTACACGCTCAGCGGTAAAGCTGAGTAAGCATATCTAATGCTTCAAACATCATATAAACTGAATCTAAATTCATAATCAAATCATTTGATATCATGCACACAATATTCATTTCAGACATTCACAATTGTGATAATGTTCAGTTCATATCAACACATTTTATTCAATTCAGATATTATTCCGACAGTGCCCTTAAATTATTCTTAATCTAAGGCCAAATAATAACAATGCTCTTAGCTATTCTTAGTCTAAGGCCATATCATAACAATGCTCTTAAAAGGGCAATTAATTATCTGATACTTAAACTATCATTTGTTTAAGGCAATTGATTTCGGACACTTAACTATAGGCAGTTAAGGCAATTAATAATCAGACACTTAAACTATCATTAGTTTAAGGCAAATGATTTTGGACACCTAACTGTAGTCAGTTAAGGAAACAACAATATAGTGATTGATCAACGTTGGATCGGGGCATTCCCAAACGAGTGATCCTCTAGTTTTGTCTACAAATCCCATTTATGCGTTTTTATCTAATTCATCAAATGTTCATGTTTTCATAAGCCCGTTCTAATACAAGATCTATTCTAGAGGTCTTCTAGATAGCCTTAACATCAATTAACTAATAGGTATATCTTAGAGGTCTTCTAGATACCGTTTAACAATACAAATCGTTTAATAATTATCAATATATTCATTACACTCATGGCTCAATCATCAATAATCATTTTGATCAGTTAGTTCATCATTCATGATCATCCATAATAATCATTCATCATAATCATTAATCAACATAACAATTGATAACAAATAGCGGTCTAATTTTGAGTGTTAACACTCTAACTTACCGTCATGCATCACATAATGTTTTATATGCCTAAAACATCATTTTTATTATACAAAATCATATTTATATTGTTCATAATTAATTGTTATCAAAAATAGGATTTTAGAGCATATTTTCAGGAACATTTTCGTAGCAGGATCTGGAATTGAGGAAAATAATTTAAAATAATCAATTAATTTATAAAAATTGATTTATATAATTTAAATAATCTATTAATTCATAATAATCGATTTTTACAATTTAAATAATCAATTAATTCATTATAATCGATTTTTACAATTTAAATAATCAATTAATTCATTATAATCGATTAACTGGTACAGACTTCGAACCACTGATTTGAATAAAATTCTAATCGATTTTTAGTAAGTAAATAATCGATTTTCGGCCACTGTTCATCATCTTCTTCCTCTAGTCAGTTTTAACATTATCATTTTTAATCACCAAACTTCGATTAAATTATATAAAAATGTTCTCCAATGTTCAGAAATCATTTTAGAGTCATTAATTCATAGTTTTAACATCAAATTCAAGGTTTAAGATTCTTAGTCCTTCAAACATATAATCTCAAACATAAAACTCAACCAAACGACCGTTTATGAACGTAGAAACGATCTATACGAACATTCTAGTCACTAGATATATTTACGGGCTTACCTCGAAGCTTAACGGAGGTTTTGGAAATTTTTCGGCGAAACTTCCGACGATGAATACTCCCAACTCCGGCAACTTCGGTGGCAACCAACAACACCAGGCTGCTCCCCTTACTCTTATGAACACAATGGTATATATTTCCAGAAAATTGGTGAAGAATTGGTAAGGATTGAGTATCCTTATATAGGAGAAAAGAAGAGGAGGAGGAGGACAGTGCTGAGTCATTGCTGCGTCCCTTAATCGCGTAGTGGAGGTGTCTGCGCCGATCGAATATTTCCACGACATTTCCTGACTGGGACTAATTTAGGTCCCAGTCGGGATACACTTTTTGGTCCAACTTTCTCCGAATTGAATTTCGTTTGTACCGTTTCGATCAGAGAGTTAAACTCTATTAAATGATATAATTTTTATAATTATTTTAAATACTTTTTCCGACATCATATTTTTGGATCTTTGAGTTTGACAGAGTCAAAATTGGTTTAATTGCCCTTTACTCAAAAAGGTTCTTACATTCCATTCATATTATTTATTTTCATGATTTATTTCAATAAATCATTTCAAAGTTTACATCATAAGCAATTTTCTTCATTTATTCTTAACTTGAGTCTGTACACAGGTTCCCAACCAAGATCACACAATTAGTTAACATTTTGGATTTATCTCTATGAGACTTAACCTGATTGGATATCAAAACACAATTTATTTTGGCCCAAAGCCCAACAACAATTTATTTTAATCAGAACAAATTTGACTGATTGAATATTTATTCATTAAAAATTTTAGGGTATGTTTTGGGGCGTTACACACAATGAGATGGCAATAATGTGGAAGGCGACTTGTAGCTAGCGGCAGCGTTCTAATGGGATGGTTGCTAGGCAGCAAGGATGGAAAAAAAGGAGAGCAGGATGTAGGCGGTGACTGTAGACAGCGCAACGATAGTGGAATTGAGAACATTGATGGTAAAACAGTGGCGAGGGTGAGGGAACTCGTCGGCGACGAAAGGAGGGGAGGACGACTTATTCAAATACATATACCTTTTGAATCAATTATTAGTTATAACTGATTCAAAAGATGGTTAATATTTGGATCGGTTATTACTAATAGCCAATTCAAAAGGTATTTGAATTGGTTATTAGAAATAACTGATTCAAATACTAAGTGGTTGGCGAAAATTAATTCCCTTTTGAATTGATTTTTTATGAAGCGATTCAAATATGGTAATGCATTTGCTCATTTTTGTACTAGTGCTGGTGAGTGTGGGTGAGAGTAGGTAGTAACTAGCTTTTTAGTTACTCGTAAATAATATATCCCGATATAGGATATAGAAAAGTCTGTTTATAAGTGTCTGGAATTTAGCCTTGTAAATAAAAGGAGAGTTTTTTTGTATATTGTCATGAAATAGTGAAAATATAATTTTTTTTCTCTCGTACATTTTTCTTGTGTTTGTTCTCTCATTTTTATGGTGTTCTCAACATTTTCGGTGTCTTAGGTACTTACAATTCCAACAATTGGTATGAGAGCTTGGTTGTGCTGGACTATAGGGGTTTATAAGCGATAAAAGAAGAAAATTTGAGAACCCAAAGATTCGCCGATTTGGCTAGTAGGTGACCATGGGACTTCAAGAACAAAGTTGATGGCATGGGGACCAGGAGTGAAGCCAACGCCATGCTGACTTTGTGAAGTAGGGTGGCAAGATCAAGACCGAGAAGACATGTGTGGTCTAACAGAGTGGAGATCTATGGTTAATACCTTGAGTCGAAAGTCTTTCTGACAAAAGAGTTGGTCGGGCGGCGTGTCCCGCATGTGTTGTTGCGGCGGTGCAAGGTGGGCACATCAGAACAAGCTAATTACTAGAGGATGGTCTCAGAGTTGTTGGTCCTGGTGTGTGAAAAAAGGTGAGTTGTCATTTTTTTAGCTCGGTGGTGGGTTAAAACTCTAGGGAGCTTAGGTAGTGGCAGGATCTTGACGGGGTTGGTTGAGATGGAGTCACAGGTACAATGGCAACTGGGAGCGGTAGGGACCTTGTGGCATTCAGCAATTCAAAGTGGAGCCACGGAGGCTACAAAGGGTGGCAGAGATCTTGCAGAATTTGAGCAAGATAAGGTCACGAAAAAAATCAATGGGGCGGTGATCTTGGAGGATTGACCAAGGTGGAGAGAGAGAGGTTCCATAAAAAATTACCATAGAGAAAATTCAAGAGGTCTTTAAGAGTGTGGGTGAGTGTAGGGAGTAACTGGCTTTTAAGTTACTCAGAGAACTATGTCCGGATATAAGATGTAGAAAAGTTTATTTATGAATATGAAATGTTCGTATAAATCGTTTCTACGTTCATAAACGGTCGTTTGGTTGAGTTGTGTTTGACATATTTGAAAAACCAAAAATCATAAACCTTGAAATTGTTGTCAAAACTATGAATTAATGATATCAAAATGATATATAAACCTTGGAAAATATTTCTATATAGTTTAATTGAAGTTTGGTAACTAAAAATTATATTTTCAAATTGGACCCGAAAAGCAGAAGATCAACCGTGAACGAAAAACCAGAGAGTGGATCGATCCACCCTCCTGGATCAATCACTTGAGAGATTTCTTCTACGGTGGATCGATCCTAGGTATTGGATCAATCCGCCAAACTATTTGCTCCAAAAATATTTCTAAAAATATTATTTTTGAGCTCTCAAAATCATATTTTTGATACCAATCATTTATGATCGATATAAGAATGATTTCTCAAAATAAAATGATGTTTTTGATGAGTAAACTTTTATGTGAGCTAGGGTGTTAACACTCGACGCTAGGCTGCTATTTGTTAACGGATATTATGATGACTATTATTGAACAATGATTATGATCAAACCTTGATGGATAATTTGATTGAATGATTATGACAATGAATAAACCATAATGAAACGCCACTGATTAAATATTGATTATGACGATTAAATGGATTTATCAAGAAAAGAGATATACCGTAGAATAAAGAGAAGTGATTCATAATATAGGGAAGAACAAAAAGAGAGAAGATGGTACATAGAAGTCTTGATTCGGAATTTGTGATATTGTTGAAGTAAAAATATCTTTTAGTACTCCGTATATTATTATCTCGAGACTAAAATAAACATACAAAAACGTTCTCTTTTCTTTCTCTAACAAAACTTCTTCAGCTAGTAAATACATCACATTTTTTTCCCTCTGCAACTTTGAACGTCAGCTGGTTGTCTGTCTTTTCTTCAAAATCTGTCATCAGGTTAACTCATCACTTCTTTTTTCCCACAAAATATCTACTTTTCAAATGATATATTGGGGTCTTTCTTAAATGAGAGTTCATCATCAGGGCTTATGGCAACCACAAGAACCATCCTGTGGTACATATTACTCCACAATCTATTGGGATGCTGGCATGCTGCCTTGTATTCGTTAATGCATTACAGTGTTGAACCCATTTAGAGTTGGTAATCACCTCCTTATGAGCTCATCCAACAATGAATACATAAATAATATGGATGTCTTTCTGTCAATCATTAAGAATGATAAAAAAACTCTACTCAACTTGTGAGCTCCTCCATTAAACCCTGAAAAAATCATTATGACATTTTAATATAGCTTTATGAGTAACCAAATGTGAATCGTGGAGAATCACCTGTGCAATATACTTCTCGGCATCAGTTCTCCTAAGAAAAAGAATCGCATGGAGAGCCAGATTGGCAAACTGATCACTGAGCGTGACAGTACCGATGTCATCAAGGACCCTCACTTTGATGTAGGGGTCTTTGGGTGGCACCATATCCTGGGAAAATATTGATTAAGGCAACTTCTCATGCTAATTCATGGGAGGGAAAAAGTGAGAGAAGCTACAGTATCCTAATCCATAATGGGCATTGCCTCTAAGTAATTTATTCAAACAAGTGTCCTCTGATCAAACTAGAGCCCACATTGACAGTAAGCTTTGTTGTTTTAATGTCGTTTTTTTCTCTCCCTAATGAGTTTAGGGTTTCTCAAGCTCGTTTCTCTCCTAGTTTTCTAGGTTCTGTTTTTCGGCACTTAGTTCGTGTTCGGCGATCTTCACCATCTGACTTATGGCGCAAACTACACCGGAAGATGCAGTGGAGAAATTGGCGTCCCGATATGATGGCTTGGTGCTTGAGGACGAAGAAGTAGGTCTTATGCCGGTAGGGATAGAACCTCACGCCGATAATGGGGCAGGGGCTGGATCTTGGATGCTCGTGGGCAGGTTTCTTACTGACAAGCTTATCAAATTGGAACTTATGCAGCAAGTTATGGCGTCAGTTTGGCGTCCGGTCAAAGGAGTTCAAGTATCAGAGATTGAACCAAATCTGTTTTCCTTTGTCTTCTTCCATAAATCGGATTTGCAGCGGGTGCTAGAGGAGGGGCCGTGGTCTTTTGAGAATAATACGCTTGTTTGCCGTCAGGTTGAAATTGGGGATCTACCGAGTTCGGTGGTCCTCGATACGGTGGATTTGTGGGTTCAGCTCTACGATTTGCCTTTGGGATACACATCAGACTCAGTTTTGGCACAGATTGGGAACTTCATTGGTTCTTTTTTGAAGTGTGATGATCGACAGGTAAGTGTACCATGGCGTGCTTTCTATCGTATTCGGGTCTCTATTCCGATTGCTAAACCTTTGAAGCGCCGTATGAAGTTGATTAAGCGTGACAGTCCTTGGACGTGGGTGAATTTTAAGTATGAAAGGCTACACACCTTTTGTTTCTTTTGTGGCTTGATGGGGCACTCCCACAAATTTTGTCTTAGGGCGCGGGAGGCAACAATCCCGGTGGATCAATATCCGTATGGTCCAAATCTTCGTGCCGGCTTATCTCGTGGACCGCGGGCGGTGGGGCAGAGGTGGTGTCCTGGGTGGGAGGATTGAGGGTGATCACTACACCAAGGGGGTTGTTGGATGGGGGGGCTCGAGCGAAGTTGGATCAGGTGTCTTGGCTGCTCCTAAACGACGAAGGGAGAGGGAGGATTTTGAAGATGGTATGAGTGGTGAAGCGCAAGTTGTTGATGTCTCTATGGAAGATGTCTCAAAAAACTTGCTTGTGGCGGGTTCTAGTTCCCAGACCCGCCCGTCCCAATGAGTACCTTGAGCTGGAACTGTCGTGGCTTGGGCAATCCACGTACAGTTCGTGAGGTTGTGGACCTTGTGTCCAGTAAGAAGCCTGACTTTGTTTTTCTAATGGAAACTAAAGTGAGTAGAGAACATGCAGAACGACTTCGGATTAAGATCGAGTTTGAGGGGCTCTTTTATGTCGATAGAACGGGTTTGGGCGGAGGCCTGGCGTTGCTTTGGAAAAGGAATAATACTGCACAGCTCCTTAGGTACTCCAAAAATCATGTGGATATCATGGTGAGATTCTATGGCTTTCCAGAGAGGAGTAGACGCAGCGAATCATGGAACCTCCTTAGTAGCCTTGGCACACGTTGGTCTCTTCCATGGGTGGTCGTGGGGGACTTTAATGATCTAATATTTCAACACGAGAAGCGAGGCCCTATCCCACACCCTGAAGGTCTTCTTCGTGGGTTTGGGGAGGCTCTTGAAGATTGCGGCTTACTAAATGTCCCGACTATGGGGTACCCGTTCACCTGGGAGAGAGGCAAAGGCACTGAGGCTTGGGTGGAAGAAAAGTTAGATAGGGTGGTCGCTACTGGGGATTGGGTTGATTTGCAAGGGGCTATTCAGGTCTCCAATATCCTTACCCGGACGTCGGACCACTCTGCCCTCTTTCTCGATGTTTATGAGTCTGAGCGTAGGGTGGGAAGAGGGGGCCGAAGGTTTAGGTTTGAGATGGCATGGCTGCTGGATAAGGGATGTCGTGGGGTGGTGGAGGGTGCTTGGCGTGATGGACGTGCAAACGGTTTGTTGAGTTGCGTCCACAACTGTGGTGTGCGCTTAATGAACTGGGGGGCAACCGTGTCCATATGTTTGGAAAACTTATCAATGAGTTACGAAGAGAGAAGATGCGTTGGCGGGGTCGGTGTGATCCTTACTCCCTAGCCGAATTCCGCAAGTTGGACTTTGAGTTGTCACGACTTGAAGCTCAGGAGGATGCATATTGGAAGCAACGGGCCAAGCAGCATTGGTTGCGGGGTGCCGATGCGAATACCAGGTTTTATCATAAACTTGCTTCTAATCGTAGACGCAAAAACAATCTACTTAAGCTTTGTGATGACGCGGGACACTGGGTGGAGGGGAGGGATCTGGTCCAGGTTATTATGGAGCATTATGGTAATATTTTTAATGCAAATGGGGCCGCTACTCGGAATGCTAATTTTTTCCCCTCGGTCACTCCTCGTGTGTCTGATTTGTTGGACCAATCTTGACATTCAGTAATAGTTAGGGGGTTTATTTTGTAATTATGTTGAAGTCTTTATTTGTTAATAATTAGGGTAGAGTCAGTCATAATTTTAGGAGATATATCTCAGATGGATTTGAGATTATCATAGCTTGTAGGAGTAGGAGATGTTATGCTTGGAGAGCAAGGCTGATGATTTAACTTGGTGGACAAGGTTAACTCATCTATAAATAGGGATAGTTTCTCTGTATTTTATGTATTCAAAGTTTTTCAATTAATTGGAGAAGGATTTCCAATAAGTTCTTGTTCTAGATTTCTGTTTTCTGTTTATCGAGATCTGGTACCAATAACTTCA